TAAAGATTTATGTTAACATTGTCTTTCAACATCTCTATCAGTATGCTTATAAACTAATGTTGAATTCCTGGAACTTGCAGAGACAGATGCCCCTATCTTTGGCCATGAAGCTGGAGGGTATGGTTTTTGTACTTGTATTGAATCCAATTTATTTCAGGATCTTTTGCATCTATTTTTTCATATAACTATTTCCATATTACCTCTCTTGGGTATGTTGCCTTAAGTTCAATTAGATATCATCCTGTGGGCAGTTAAATTTTGATGTAGTTTATCTAATTTCTTTGACTGTGTACTTCTTGTATAGGACATTTTATCTTCCTTATCCATTTTTGTTAGTTTTCGCTTGACATTACTTCTGTAAATCAAAGAAAAGAGAGAGGGGGCAAAAAAACTTAATATAAAGATCCAATATGCTCTCTTTTCTAGCGGAAGGCTTTTGCTATATCATTTGGTGACACACCTTGAATTCATGAAACTTGTGTTAGAGGACCCTGCAACTGCACCAGAACATTGAAGTTATGTTGAGGGGTATAATTTTATAATCTAACATGCCCCACAGGTTGAGGGTCCTTTTTGAGCTGAAAATCGGACTCACAGAGCATTACCTATTTTTAAATCTTCCATAGAAATTCGTGCAGTAAAATTCAAACATGGGTTGCTTTGATAACATATCAAAGTATCATGCCACTGCACCATAACTCTGAACTTGTGGTAAGGGTTGAGGGTTGTAATTTTAATCTAACAACTGGAAGGAAATAAATTCAAAAAGCTGATTGCAATATAAGCAGCCAAATCAAGTTTGAAATGCAGAACAAACAGACAACATTTTGAAGCGAAGCTGTTTCATCAATTTAGTGATGCTTTTCAGTTAATTTAAAGAATAATTTTACCTTTTTTTAACCAAAAAATAAAATAAAATAAAAAGTCCTATGTTGTTATCACCTAATCATGATATCTTATTTATAATTCTTATCGATTTATGTTGTTATTACTCTTGATAAAACTTAAGATCAAGCTCTGAAGATGATTTTCATATTGAATTTATCCTTTCTGTAATCTCCTGCTGCGTGTCATCAGTATTGTGGAGAGCATAGACGACGGTGTGGCCGATCTAACACCAAAAGGCCACATCCTCTCGGTCTTCAGCGGAGAATGCAAAGAATGTGCTCATTACAAATCCGAGTTGGAGAACAGTATGTGCGATCTCCTCGGAATAAACACTGAATGAGGAGTGATGATCAGCGATGGGCAGTCCAGGTTCTCAATCAATGGCAAACCCATCTACCATTTTGTTGGAATCTCTACCATTTTGTCGGAACCTCTACCGTTACTGAATTGATCGTAGTACATGCTGGCTGTGTAGGCATGGTCAACCCTTGGCTCCCCTCGATGAAGTCTGCGCTCTGAGTTGTGGCATTTCAACAGGTGAATGAATTTCAACTGCGGAGTTTTTTTATAAATATTGAGGTGCACATAATAAATTTGCATTAGTTATAAACAAATAAAAATTATAAAAAATTGTAGGTTATAGTTCATTAAAATAATAAATTTTGAGGCACACAAGTTGAATCTATATTCGTAAAGAACAAAAATCGTGGGTAGCTTAAGAAAATCATAAAGTTTCATGTACACAAGATATATATGCATTTGTATGAAATGAGCAAAAATTGACAAAAACCGTGAGTTATAGCTTATGAAAATAGAAAATTTACATATACATATATTAAATATGCATTCATGTAATCAAATAAAATTTGAAAAAGCAATGAGTTATAGCTTATAAAAACTAAAAACTTTGATGTGCACATAATAAATTGTTACTCATTAGGAACGAATAAAATTTGTCAAAATTACATATTATAACTCATGAAAATACTAAAATTTTTGTTATGGTGTTCCCATCCATCCGAGTGCAACTCAATGCCAAGCAACGGACAAGTATACTGCTGCATGCTATGCCCCAATTAACTTGGCGGCCAGAGACTAGTAGGGATGACAACTCAGCCGATTTGTCGAGTCGACATCCTTTCATGTCGACTCGAAAGGCAGTACTTGTCGCCCCCTTTGTCGAAGATGACTCGCCACGAGCCCACTCGACCATTTGCTGGACGCCTCGTGAGGGCGACTTGAAAGGTGTTACTTCTTAGCGAAGCTAAAGGGAAACTTCTGCCTCAAGTCTCTCTCACTAACAACGTGTTAGCATCGTATTTAATGCACGATAGACGCATCATACCTCTAGCCCTAATAGTCTCCATGACTCATCGGGCCACGCTGGCACCGCCATACCACCACTCACTTCTCGCTTAATGCTGAAGTGATCTTTTCCCCAATCACCAGCCGACACCTATAAAGCAAATGCTGACGCAATAGTCAGCCCATACTTCGCCACCGCCTCTCAGTGCTCGGTCGAAGTGACCAATCTATCATTATACCTTTGGTATATATACAAGTATTATTCGATCTTTAGAAGGGGGATCTTGATCCAAAATCTGATCTTTTGAGCAAATCGTTTTGCACATCCAAGAGCTCTCATAGTTCTTACTTTTATCCTACTCAAGTTCATCAGCTAACTTGATCGTTGGAGGTATAACAAAGGAATCAAACCCCGTCCTCTCACGAATTTCTACTTATGCAGATTCATCAATCTCACTCAAAGAACTATACATAAAGTCGGATAACAAAGCGGTCCCTCATCAATCCTCAACAACCTCATCCAAGCACAGATACATATTGACTGTGTGATCACTAGTACATCAACACTTTTAGATATAGATAATAAATTAATATTCATTCAAGACAAACAATACTTGACAAAAAATCATCAGTAATAGCTCATGATAGTCGTGAATTTTGATGTATGCATAACAAATTTACATTCCTTCAAAATAAAATAAAATATATAAAAATTATGGATTATAACATTAAAAAATCATAAATTTTGATGTGCACATATTAAATTTGTATTTGTTCAAAACAAATAAAAATTATCAACTTTCATGGGTTATTGCTAATGAAAATCACAAATACTGATGTACACATAATAAATTTGTATTCGTTCAAAACGATAAAAAAATAAAAAAAGTCAAGAGTTGTAGCTCATGAAAATTATAAATTTTTATATATACATAATAAACTTACATTCATTGAAAGCTAAAAAATTATAAAAAATTGTCGGCTATAGATCACGAAAAATACATTTTGAGTTTACATAATTAATTTGTATTTGTACGTAATGAATGAATATGACAAAAATTGTGAGTTATAGTTCATGAAAATATCAAAATTCTTGATATGCATATAACTAATTGGCATCCATTGCAAACAAATGAAAATTGAAGAAAGTCATAGATTATAGCCTATGAAAATAGTAAATTTTAATGTACACATAATAAAATTGCATTCATTCAAAATAGTGAATTTTAATGTGGGTTTTATAGCTCATAAAAATCACAACTTTTAGGGTTCACTAAATTAATTTTCATTATCTATAAATGAAAAAATAATCAAAAAATCATGAGTCATATATAGTTCATGAAAATAGTAAATTTTGAGTTGCAAATAATAAATTATCGTACATCACAAAACAAAAAATTTATAAAAATCGTAGATTATAGTTAATGAAAAACTTGAAGTTTGATGGACATAAAAATTTGCATTCGACAACAAATAAAAATTGTAAAATTATGTTGATTATAGATCATGAACGATGTAAGTTTTAATGTACGCATAATAAATTTGCTTTTGTAGAAAATAAAAAATTTGATAAAATCGTGGATTATGGCTTATGAAAACTGTAAATTTTGATGTGCACATAATTAATTTATATTTGTTGGAATCAAACAAAATTTATCAAAATAGTGGATTGTCACTCAAGAAAATCGTAGATTATGATGTATATGTAATAAATTTGCATTTGTTCAAAACAAATAAAAATTAACAAAAATTATGGGTTATAGCTCATGAAATTATAAATTTTAATATACACAATAAATCTATATTCATATGAAATAAATAAAAATTGACAAAAATCCCGGGTTATAGCTCATGACAATTGCAAATTTTGATGTACAAATAAATTTATAATGGTTTAAAATAAAAAATTGATAAAAATCATAAATTAGCTCATGAAGATCATAGATATTGATGTACACATAATAGGCCTGTATTCATACGAGATGAACAAAAATTGACATAAATCGTAGTTTAGGGCTTGTGAAAATCGCAAATTTTGATATACGCACAATAAGTTTGTATTCATGTAAAAGATACAAAATTAGTAAAAAATCTTGAGTTATAGCTGATGAAAATAATAAATTTTGAGATATACATAATAAATTATCATTTATCCTAAATGAATAAAACTTGATAAAATGTCACGAGTTATGTATCATTAATAATATGAATTTCGATGTACACATAATAAATTTATATAAATTTGAAATGAAAAAATTGACAAAAGTCATGAAAATCTTTAATTTTAACATATATATAATAAATCTGTATTTAATGGTTTGTTGGAACAATATCTTTATTAGATGCACATTTAAGGTCATGGGTTGTTCCCACAATATACTTTCTCCCTCAGTTGCTGGTTTTAGTCAATTGGGAGTCAAAGTCAACAATAACTATTAACCCAAGAAGTTGTGTTGGGTGGTTGTTTTTTGTATAAGGTCTGACAGCTATAGACATGTCTTGTTCTGGCATTTTCCCTCCATTTTGAGCTGAAATGGGCGGAAAGTCACTGTAGCGACAGGCCTACTAAGGTTATACCATCATTTACTTTCGTCCCAAATATATGATGTTTGGGAGACTTATTTAAGAAGAGTGATTGCTAAGTTCACAGAAGCAGATGAAGACTGAATTGAAATTGGATGGAGAAGGTAAACTCCATACTTTGCGTGTTATGACATCAAATATCAGTATTAACAAGCACACACTGGCACAAAGATACCAACCTTCCTTTATTTATTCATAGTCCATAATGCTACACTTTCAGACTCAACCCTGTTCTTTATTCATGACTCTGTGCCAAAGAGAGACGTCTATACTTCAAAAGTCAAAGTACAGAGTTATGAGCACACAACTCTCTCCCCTTTGTCACATTCTCTCCCACAAGGACTTCATGCCCAGTGACGTCTACTGAATCCCCAGCGCACCGTTCCAGATTCCTTGCTCATTGACCTCAGCGTTCGAGTCCACTATCCCCTCATACACGATTCTATTGTACATATCCCCGGCCTCCAGTTGCAGCCTCAGATCCTTGACGTCCTCTCCGTCGACATCCTCATTTGATACAATTGAATTCTTCTCCACGAGCTGTTGAAACATTGACGATTTCAGTAACAGACCAAGTGCTGTCGGAGATGACTTGTTGCCGCCTGTGGTTTGGTACGGCATGAATTCATGTTTGCATGACAACTGTTGCACGTCAACTGTGAAGGCCCTTCGATTTGCTAGTGAAATTTGCGCATCAACATTGCTCGGAAAGATGTTTGCTTGTAATTGTCCAGTGTTCGGCTGTGCTTCCTGTGGGTTGTTCATGATATTGGAAATGCCCGGCCTGAGCCACCTTATGTATGTGCTCAGGTCGAAGTTGGTAACTGCATTGATCCCTCGATATTCAATTGCTGCAATGTCATAAGCATGAGCAGCCTCTTCTTGAGTGCCTGATAAGAATATGAGAGTTTGAGATGTGTTTGTTGTTTACAAAGGAGGATGAGACTAATTGTCATTTTGAACTTTAGGTATAGAATATTTACTGTATGTTCCAAGGTAGAGATATTTGTTCCCGAAAACTCTGCCAATTCTCGCTTCCCATCTTCCATTATGATGATGCCTGCGTGTTATCAGACACATTTGGATCTTGCAAATTTAGTATTGAGTTTTATCTTTTAACAGGAATTTGAGCTACTCTTTGGAGGTAAAGTACATACCTTGCAACTCCTCTATACTTGGATACACCTCTTGAGAAGCCACTGCTCTTTCTGCAATTAAACAATATTCTTGAAATTTAATTGAAAAAACTTAATTAGATGATAAACAGTATTAAATATCTGACAATATGCACCTTCTTAAAGAGGCTAGATACTCTTCTTTGGTTACATTCTGCATTATCTGTAGCTCTTTTTCATAATCTGTCACCTGAAATTATTTCAAATTGATTGGTACTTTGTGCTTGTTGTGTTTATGTGATATAATTTTCTAAGGCTGAATTTTTATTGATAACATACAGGGAAGTTTGTGAAGGTGGTAGGTCCCCAATACTTGAGGGCAGCTAGATCATAAGCTCTTGCTGCTGATTCTTCCTCATCATATGCACCAAGGTAAACTGCGGTAGATTTCAGACAACATATAATAAGTTTTCCTACAAAACTGAGATTCTTTTAGAGAAAAGATGATAAAATTTCTGGCAAATTCACCTTGTTTTCCCTTCTTCCTTTGTGTAACATTCCAGGATCCTTTATCCCATAGATGAGCTTCAAACCGGCCAGTCCATCGATGTCTGAGATGAAACTATGTCTATTAGCTACCCATTGAAGTTATGTGCGGTATGTAATCAAAGTCTTTTATTATCTATGGTAATGGGCTCTCGCATACAGTTTGAGGAAGACTTTAAAGTTATTTACAAATTAAAGATGGAAGATGTAAAATTTGGCACGT